ACCGGACATGGTACTGAAAACTATTCTACTGAGCGGAGAAAGAAAAAACAATTTGATGCTTTTCTTGTGAATTATTATGACTTCCCATACATATAGATTAACTCACAAATAGATAATATATATAGATATTATATTTTCCGCTTTATTTCTTATATTTGTATCTACTATATACTCGTATATTTAAATTATAGTTATATTTGTAAACAAATTACAAATATACAGTTTTGATTGCGTTATGTTATTATAAAAAATTAACCTCATGGGAATATTATTCCTTATTTATAACTTGCTTACTAACATGATATGGATTTCGCGATTCACGTTTAAATGAATAAATAAAAAATATATATTGCATGAAACATCAAGTTGATTTCTGGACGATAATCCACTATTTAAAGTATATCTATTTTCATACTTTTAAATGTATTATGTATTATTTTTTCAGGTCGTGCGCTGCCCAGATATTTGTACCAAGGCTTCTTCCTCAGAAGATAAAAAACAACTAGACAATGCGTTACAATTAAATTATAAAAATGTACAAATAATTTAACGAACATAACCATTGTGAATATTCAGATTCATATCATGTCATTTTAAATAATTTATATTTTTGTATAAAAAATATATATATTTCTACGTGCAATAATGTAAAGTTAGTATATTCACAACACCTACATTGTAAATTTTAAAACTGTGATAAAGTAGGTACAGTCAAGTTGAAAAAATAATGTATAATATATGCCGCTCTGTTTTCGAACTTGTCTGTCAATAGATTGTATGTAATCAAATAATTTATGTATGTTGTGTACAATGATGGAATGGGAATGTATGTAGTAAATATAATATTAAATAAAATACATAATTTAATGATTTATAATTTCCAGATTGCTAAACCTGAGTAAGCTAAGTTCATCGTTCATTCATAGAATTGAAAGAGACGAGATGTTCCAGTTTTAGGCTAAATTACTGCTTGAGATAATAAAAATGTTAAAATCTGGCCTATTTTCTATCGGATTATTGTACCATTATATCTAAAATATTAATAACACTAATATTATAAATAACATAAATGTGAAACTGTGTTTCTATCTATCTGTCAGGCAAAGACGTTGGCAACAGCTAGATTAGCTTGAATGTCTAACGTGCTACAAGAACTTACTATTTTAATATATTACAGATAGTGTATATATGTAGGTACAATTTATCTGCTTCCTTTATTGTAGCATTGTTTCGTAGACATGTATCTATAATATTGTAAAAATATTTGATATTCCATTCTTCTCATTTTGCTCCATCAAAAGGTTATTCGAAAGTAGTAAAGGTAAATGAGATTTGCGTATACAGATGTAGTGCAGCTACTTTCATCATGTTACATGCGCCATTTCGTCGCCTAAACGAAATTCTTTCTGTCCAAGTGGGAATAGTACGATAGAAACATATGGACGTTACATAAAACATCATTATTATTAGTATATAAAAAAAGTATTGTTGGAATATATAAATATACTAGGTGTGCCCGCGGTTTTACCCGCGTTTAATTTATAGCCTATATGTTATTCTGATGTCTAAGCTATATCATTGTTAAATTTCATAAAAATTAATTCAGTAGTTTTTGCGTGAAAGAGTAACAAACATCCATCAATAATCACAAACTTTCGCATTTATTATATTAATAATAAGATATATATTACTTTATTTGATATAATTATAAATTTCAATAGGACATGTCCAATATTATATTTTTGTATAAGTCCTGTACTTATTACCAACTTTTTACCCTATCTACAGTTTTACTCCATTTTGGAGTTTGTTCTATTGCTTTATTGATATAGCTAAGAATATTTTTTGCAATAATTGGCATGTCACATACACGATGTATATGGTATGTAGTCAGAGGTACAGAGCAACGCAACACTTGACTTGCCCACAATTTGCTGCATATATCTGAACTAAACGTAGCAGCGAGCACACAGCTATCTCTTCTACTTTTGTTGGTTTGTTATCGGTGTTATCATCACAAGTAACAGTAATGTACATGTTTACATAAACAATTTTTTTTATGTCGGTCGACGATACTCGCCATTTAGATGCTGTATTGTAGTTTGGGACCATCGATAAATTACTTCATAGAAGTAATCGAGTAATTACTTCATAGTTTTAATAGTTAGATATATTGGATTTTGGAATGTGACGTTTCAAATATAAAACACTACACAAACACAATGTGTGACAAGGAGGTATGTAGTTTATCTTTCTCCTTGTCACACAATGTCACATTTATCGACTAACTCCTCCCCCCTCACTACCTTACCGTGTGACGCAATTTATGGCCTTATATTATAAAAATATTTTCGTATCCTGTATAAGCGGAGGGATATTTATTTTTAAATTTGATTCTGTTTCACATGTAGCCTATATTCGCCTGCTTTATATTCGTAATATAGCCATTATGTTCAATAGTGACTGAGTCCCTGCATCGGCATCCTATAAACACCTCATTTTATTTCAAAGAAAATATTATGTATCTTAACGAAAAATTTCCTTTGATATGCAAACTCGGAATGTGTAAACATATTTTGAAGAAAAAACTCTTAAAGAATTTCAAGTGTATTTTATTTAAATTTTACAACATCGTATGTATCAGTTTCATAAGCTAAAAATAACGAATGAGACAAATAAAATAAATTCTTATATCATACTTAGTTTATGCTGGCTCGTTCATGAGCATTTAATTCCAAAACAAAAATTCATAATAACCTATTTTTCGTAAATATATTTCTTATATTTATTACAATGTAAGCAATGATTAACAATGACTAGAAAACTCACATCTTCTCGCGTTAAATGAAAGGCTTTTTTTTTGGACTACTCTAATGTTGTTGGCCGCAGCTGGCCTTTACAGCTTCACCGGACGTTAGGGGGCGAGTGCAGATGGCACTCCAAACCCGCGGAAGGACTTATGGAGCGGCTGAAGGCCAACTCCTGCCTGACGGATTCGACTTTAGTCTGAGGGCATCACTAGGGGTTTGAACCTCGGCTCAGGCCGTCGTAATATCGATCCCTGTTAGAATTGGACGGGGAATCGATCGGAGGGGTAAATGAAAGGCGTGAGGATACATATCGAAGAAGTTTTTTTAAAACATTTTTATAGACTTCTTTCGCCCTTAAGCAATATATTAATGTAAACCCCATAAAATCCATTAGCTAATTTTTATGTACATACAATTATTAAAAATAATCTTTTTGTGGTATGTATTCATATAGTACATAGAGTAAAGTCGCCCGATAAAAATGTAAAAAATTGTGTTGTGCCATTTAATGTACAAAGTACCTTGTAAATTCTAGTACAGTAAAGGTGCTGTATTATCTCATGACAATAAAGTTTATATTGATGGTGTATATCTTACTCTAAGGTATGTAATAAAAAGTAAAGTTTAATCAACAAAGAGGGACATACGGGAATTAAAACACAAAACTTATAATTAATTACATTAATAATTACATGGTAAATTCATAATATACAATAAAAAAAAAATACATGAAAGTTAAATGTTTAAGACTGTCCCGTATCGTATCGTATCTGGTTTAAAGGTTCACATAACGCTCGCAGCATTTCCACGTTCAATTGTTAGGGAAATCCTTTGCACCGGAATTAAAATACACGATTAAATTTTGTGTTATGCGTAAAAACAAAATAGTATTTTTTCTAAAAATAATGTTGTAATTTATAAATTAATGAATACTCGTATGTAGATTATATTAGTAGATTTTAACGGATCAAGAAATAAAACAGGTTTTAATTTAGTTTAGATTCCTCTTTTTTAAAAGTTTGGTTTTCCTATATTGTTTACTACAGACTTTATATTTTTACGTTACAAATTGAAACAGGGTTAGATAAAATGTAAACATCTTTGGTGCCATAATAATCAGGTAAAGTACTTCGTACTTAGTCTTCGTTTTGTAACCCTATGAAAGTAATACAAGTATTTATTTAGTAGTTTTACATACTATAGTAACTATATGTACATAAGAAATTTATTTTTAATTTAAAATTTTTTATGTGTAGATCAAATAAAAAAACAACACACGAAACAAATAGGCGAACTTGTTTCTAAATCCCAGTAATATCTATTATCTTTATCTTTACATGTAATAGTATGTTATCTGTGATATAAGTAACTATTATAATCGTATAGTCATGAGCCAAAACTGTATCTCTGTGTCTCTTTGTATGTTAATGTTTCAAGTAATGAAAGCTGGAGGAATTCCAATAAAATTTTCATATAATTTATTGTTACAATTGGGTTAAAAATAATTAATTTATCAATCAGATAACAATATATACGCGTACAAAGTTAAGGGAAGTATTTGAAGATTAATGTTATAAAATATAAATGTTTGGTAGGTATTAGGAAAACAATTTGTTGTTTAATTGAGCATTAATTCATTACCACAAAATGTAGCTAAGGCTATATATTATATTATACTTATACATATATCATCATCTGCTTCATACTTATCCCATTTAATTGGGGGTCGGCGTAATATGTTTTTCGTTTCCATTCATCCCTGTTCGCAGTCATCGCGTTATTTACTTCCTTTCTTACCATATCATCTTTCACACAGTCCATCCATCTCTTTTTTGGCCTTCCTCTGCCCTTATAACCATCCACATTCATTTGTAACATCTTTCTTAAAATATTATCCTCGTTCCTACGCATTACATGTCCATACCATGATAGACGATTACTCTTCAACCTCTCTGACACCGGTGCCACTTTCATACTTCCTCTAATGTATTCATTCTTTATCTTATCCATTCTTGTCACACCACACATCCACCTCAACATTCTCATTTCAGTTGCATGCAGTCGTCTTTCATCCGTCGCCTTTACGGGCCAGCACTCTGATCCATACAAGACAGCAGGCCGGATCATGGTCTTGTAAATTTTCCCCTTAAGCTTAAGAGGAACACGCGAGTCACACGTCGTTGCCGTAACCTGCCGCCACTTCATCCATCCTGCGTTAATTCTATGCTTTATGGCCCTGTCTAATTCACCATTGCTTTGGAGGAGAGAACCTAGATACCGGAAATCGGAGCAAATCGGTAATGGAGCACCATTTAGTGATATGGCTGCAGAGCCGGAAAGACCGCCAAAATCACAAAACATGTATTCCGTTTTGGAAACACAAATTTTTAAGCCCCCGCTTTCCAGCTTTTGCTGCCACATCGCCAATCTACTCTGTATCCCAGCCCCCTCCTCACCAACGAGCACAATGTCATCTGCAAATAGCATGCACCAGGGTGCCTCTTCTTGTATCTCCGACGTCAAGGCATCCATTATCAACAAAAAGAGGTACGGGCTTAAAGCCGATCCCTGATGCAAGCCTACAGCCACACTGAACTCGCTGGTGTTTCCAGCGGCCGACCGCACATATGTACGAGGTTGACTGTACATAGCACGAATTAACTCCACATACTTCACTGGCACTCCTCTATCTTTCAAGGCCCACCACAAAACCTACTTTATCGTACGCCTTTTCCAGGTCGACAAACACCATGTGCAAGTTCTTGTGAGCACGTCTGTATTTTTCACACAGCTGACGCAGTGAAAATATGGCATCTGTGGTACTTCGGCCTGGCATAAATCCAAACTGGTTTTGGGTGATATCCGTCTCTTCACGCAATCGCTTTTCTATCACTTTCTCCCATACTTTCATACTGTGCGACATTAGCTTTATTCCCCGATAATTATTGCAATCCTGTACATCACCCTTATTCTTAAAAATGGGCACTAGTGAGCTATTGCACCATTCCTCAGGGATCGCCACTTCTTGCAATAATTTATTAAAGAATAAAGCCAGCCACCTGCAGCCATCATCTCCTAATAATTTCCATACTTCTACTGGTATACCATCTGGCCCGACTGCTTTCCCATTCTTCATACTTTTCACTGCTTTTCTTACTTCATCCATACTAATCTCATTCACTACACCAATGTTTACTGAGACATCTTTTAGAGCATCATCCCACACATTTTCTTCATTCATAAGTTTATTGAAATATCCCTTCCAACGTGCTTTTATGTCATCATCTTTCAACAAAATTTGTCCTGTATCATCTTTTATACATTTTACATGCTTCATATCTTTCGCTCTTTCTTCTCTCATTTTGGTTATCCGGTATAGTTCTTTTTGGCCACTAGGGTCATCAAGTGACCTATATATTTTATCTAGGGCTCTTGTTCTGGCTATTGCAACTACTTTTTTTGCTTCCTTTTTAAATTTTTTATACATTATCTTTTTCTCTTCTTTCAGCCGTTCATTCTCTGTAGGTACCTTTTGCCAATCTTTGAAAGCATTCTTCTTTTCTTTTAATATTTTTTGTACTTCTTCACTCCACCACCATGTATCCTTATCTATTATACACTTTCCCTTACTTTCTCCAAAGACCTGCTTTGCTACCATTCTTATACAATGTGCTATTTCATCCCAACATTCATTTACTGTTTTTCCTTTCATGTCTTTCATACTAATCATTTTATCTACAACTTCTTTCTTGAATCTGCTTGCATACTCGTTTTTTTCTATCATTCGCCATTTAGTTCTAGGTGGGGGGCATTTCCTATTTTTATTTATCTGTACTTTAATTTTTATTTCTATTAGTAATAGTCTGTGTTGTGTAACTAGATCTTCCCCCGGCAGCACTTTACAGTCTTTCACAGTCCATAACTTGTTTCTTCTCGTCAGGAAAAAGTCTATTTGTGTCGCATACTGGCCACTTTTATAGGTGATAAGGTGTTCCTCTTTCTTCTTAAACAAAGTGTTTATTATAGCTAGGTCAAATGCGGAAGCAGTTTCCAATAAAGTTTCGCCGTCCTCGTTTCGGTTGCCAATTGCCCTCCCCCCATGAACTACTTATACATATATACAACACATATATTGTTACGACTATATTTTCAGACAAAATATTCAGACATTGCCAACAATCGTAGTTGTGGTGAATCTTGACATGCTCACGTTGAGTTGAGATCATTTAAATCCGAAGTGATAAAAGACTAGTCTACTGCCGGCTGCTTCTTAGGTTAAGTTGGTTTGTTCCTGGTGATTTCTTATCGCCGTAGAATTAGTCAAAACTTTAAGTCCACACACAAAGATAGTATACTGTGGTAGCCTTTGTGAAAAGTTATCGGTTTTGGTTACATCAGGCGTCAAGTTTGCTTTGTAATCTGAATCCCGAAATTACAGGATAAGAAGTACGATATCCTGGTCCTCAGGAATGCCAACATTAAGTGATATAACGGGCGATACATGGTTATGTAATATTCGTAATGCTGTTAATGCATCTTACCATCAGGTGGGCCAAAATCTAGTTAACCATTAATATATATACTAGTCTGTAAGTCATCAATAAGTATTAGAGAACTAACTGATGTTATGATAACTAACCTGAACCTGATATTCTAGGGTATCATTATTCGTCACCTGCAAATATGTGTATACATTAATACTAATAATATCCCAGGACAATACACACTGTGCCATCTAGTCCCAAGCTAAACAGAGTTTGTGTTATGCTTGTACAAGACAACTGATAGAAATACTTATGTTTTTTGTAAATACCTATGTATAGAAAATACCCTGACCGACCGACAAACAATTCATGAATGAAAATCTTCGCACCGTACAAGAAATCGGACCATTGACCATGGGAAGTAAAGCGTGATTGTCTTACCTCAGAAGAGTTTCTATTACAATGTACATACATAACATTCTGCCTATAATTAACTTATTAATGTACATGCTATGCTGTAACTAAAAGTTTTCTAAAATTATAATTGCGTACATTATTAATTTATAATCTATTGACAAATTAATGAATAAATAATATATATAAATATATATCTTCGCCTGCGTAGAATGATCCTGTCCAAATAAATTAAAAACCCAAAAAGCCAAAGAAAAATGTTTAATTGTGGTGTGAAAGTTCAAGGTAGGTGAAGGTGTGAAAATTCGTCATTTATAAAGCTTCCAGTTTCTTTCATACTTTATTTTATTTTACCTCCTTAGTAATTAATATATATATAAATAGTAGTTAATATTTATACAAACTTTGAATCTCAAATTTATTTATATTTTTAACAACAGCTTAAAAAATAGGTTTTAAGCTGCAAACTTTAAAATATATTTTCATATAATCTTTTATCTCCCGTTTCAACCCCCTATAACCCTTTAAAAATGACGATACCTCCATACAATCTTTCATCTCCTTAAACCTTGCAATGTTTCGACATTAATTGCAATTTAAATTTAAAATAGTTTTTGTATTTTCAATGAATAAAATAACCGACACAATTTGAATTAGTCCTTCATTCAGCTAAGAGCATATTATTAAAAGTTATATTTTCGTTGTTCATATGCTCGTACGTTTGTAATATAGTCATTGTTCAATTAATATTCTAAAAGTTTTCACTCATACTAATTGTTGTATTAAACTTATAAATAATAATATATTATAAAATTTCTTTAAAATTGGTTTAACATACCTCCAGTCGGAAGAATGCGTCCTATAAAAAATACAATATATTTAATGAACATAATTTAGAAATCTATACATATAAAATAAATAAAATGGGAGCGTCTATTTGTAATATTATTGAAATAACCGTTTTTTACTACATGCATATGAATATAAATACGGTATCTACTCCATAATAACATTTTTTACAATTTCTGTCTGTCTGTCTGTTTGTTCCGGCTCCATCTCTGAAATGGCTGGACCGATTTTGATGGGACTTTTATTGGCAGGTAGCTGATGTAATAAGGAGAACTTAGGCTACCTATATTTTAGAAAAAAAAGTTAAATTCCACGCATACAAAGTCGCTTGTAGAGCCATAAAAAAGTAAAATGCTTTCAGATGATTCTTTACATGACTTGAAGATACTTCTCTAGTTAACTTATGTAAGTTGTATGTATGATATGTATGTATAATAATACTTTTACAATTTGCTTTTGGTAAAATACCTTATCTAAACTGATTCCATGTTAGTGTGTTACCGTGCGAGGAATCGAACCCGAGACCATTAGAAGTAAAGCGGTGTGCTAAACATCTAGACCACCGAGGTAACCATTAGCAGGCGGTTTTGTAGTTTGAATAATGAGATTAGTGAAATTAAAACGGATAAAAGCACTCACTCGTACATGTGCAAATTAGTGAAGTAGGTAGTGATGCTTGTCGTACTGCTTGTGTTTATAGGCGGTGATCACTACTTACCATCATCTGATGGTAAATAGGTCGTCAGCGTCATTGCCATTCGTTATATTTAATAAGAAATAACAATGAAATTAGAGCTTTTCACATACTGATTAGTGAAAAACTTTAATTTCTTACTTACTGGTAGCTACGGAATTAACAAATACGGATAAATATAAATTATTACATTTTACTTCAAATCGATAAATAACTTCTTAAAATAAAAGAAAAGGCATACATAATCTAGGTAACAAACTAACACATTTAGTGTAAACTGTTTTAATTATTTATGGCACTCAATGGTTCGGTTCCATTGCATCATGTACCTTTTTTTTTATTCAACGCATGAAAAGTGACATTAAAAGAACACCGATTTGATAACATAAAATAGGTCAATGTTTAATGAAATGTATAATGAAGAGTAATTAAAAATATTGTAAAATACGGGGGTGTTTCATTATTTTTTTTATTAATACCACATGTTTCCAAAAAAATGTGTATGAGATTTTCCTTCTAACAAAATGTGCAAGATTTAATTTTCGTTGTTTAGTTGTTTTCTTTATTCACCATAGATGTGAAAAATGGATACTTCGAAAATCCGAGTCATATTTTAACTAGAATTCTAATATCTAATGCCACAGCATTAGATACGTATCGTTACAATCTCCTAATAACATGAAGTGAATTCTAATATAAATAAATAGACTCACCATTAAAAATTCCTTTAAGTAGTGCTATATTAAAATAAAACAATAAAATATAATATCAATTTTATTATTACAAACAATAAATATAGCTATATATACTAGTTTTTTGTATACCTATTGAAATGGCAAACATTATTCATTATATTCGTACATCGTTAACGATATTGCTATGTTTTCTCCATCTCTCATGCTCGGACACCGGGTTAATTTGTTTAAACATCATGTCTCCGTACTTTATAATTTCACCGCTATATTTGATCTTTAAATTGGTAAGGTGCTTGGTGGCAGAAATTGATGAGACAAAGGTACACACATAGACAAATAACAGTAGGATTATCTCCTTACAACTTTCCTTCTGCTTCACATTTTGGGCATCTCTACATATATACAAGTGTGTTTTCATATAGCGCCTACAAATTATATTGGTACTACCAATATAATCTGTAGGCGTTGTATGAAATCACCATTGTACTTGCTTCATCAATATAACTAGTCTGG